TAGTCCATTTGGTCCCATCGGCCTTTCATATATTCTTGTCAACGCCGTGTTCATGGGATCGGGTTCAAACACCTCTGGAGCATCGTAGTCATACTCATCCTCCACAATCATGTTGTGGAGGATGATGCAAGTCATCATAATACTCCGCAGCACCTCCTCATCTAGCATCCGAGCAGCACCCTTAATAATTGCCCAACGAGCTTGCAAGATATCGAAACACCTCTCCACGTCTTTCCTGTAACCTTCTTGAAAGGAAATAAAGCTTCTATCCTTCTCGGACTGGGGATTCAGAATTGTTTTCACGAATGTCGTCCACCTAGGATAAATTCCGTCGGCAAGGTAATACGCACCAGAGTATACGGTATTGTTGATTTGGTACGTGACCTGGGGAATGACCTCGTAATACCTCGTCGAACACCGAGGATTGACCAAGGACATTGAGGTCATTCTGAGATCCTGCAACCCCAAAGAAGGCATGCCAAACCCAACAGTCGAATGAAGCTACGACCTCCAAATTTATACTTTTTTGGCCCTTCCGATTCCAGTACTCTCCTTGCCAAGCAGTAGGACAATTCTTCCACTGCCAGTGCATGCAATCGATGCTTCCAATCATTCCTAGGAAACCTCGATCCTCGCCTTTTTTTTTAGAAGCCTTTGCAGGTCCCTCGGCATGGGTTTGCAAAGGTACTCCCTCGTGTACAAATTTTCCACTGCATCACAGAATCTCACCAAGCACTCCAGGATAGTAGATTTTCCCATCCTTGCAATCTCATCCACCTGCTCTGCAGATGCCCCATAAGCAAGCATCCGCAAAGCAGCTGTAAGTTTTTGCTCCGGGATAAGACCCAAAACTCCAACAGCATCATGCTTTTGAATGAAGTATGTGTCGTAATTACAAATATCATGCATGATTTTTTGGAACAAATGTGGCTGCATTCTATATCTCTCTCGAAACTTATATTCAGGATATAACGAATTTGGGATAAAGTAATCCTCCAAGAGATTCTTACCCCGAGACTCCCTACGTTTGTCCACATTCGGGGCACGACCATGGTGTTGCCTTGATTGATTAAGCATACACACCGCTGCTGCAAGCATTTGTTCCTCTTCTTCATCGGCGTCCCGATCTTCTTCAGCACGTTTACGCTGGATTTCTTCCCTTTGTTTCTGTTGCCTCTCCAACACCCTCCTCAAGTTTGACATTGAGAGTAGAAAGTGTTTTGTAAAATCTGAGAAATGAAGGAATAGATAAGAGATGGTGTGAGAGGTATGAGTTGATGGTGTAGTTTTATAGAGGGATTCAGAAGATAGAGATGACACGTGGCACAAATTTAGAGGGTGAAAATCTTATCTGAAATCTGAGATTATAATTTTTTAAACATATCCTAAAAATCTTATCTGACATGGGACACGTGGCACAATTTTAAAGGGTGAAAATCTTATCTGAAATCTGAGATCGTAATTTTAAAAAAAATTTCTGAAAATCTTATCTGACATGGGACACGTGACACAATTTTAGAGGGTAAAAATCTTATCTGAAATTTGAGATTATAATTTTTTTTAATGAATATCCAAAAAATTTATCTGGAATAAGACACGTGGCAACCGAGATTCTCATCCGAAAATCTTTTCTAAAAAATAATGGACATGTGACAACCAAAAATCTTATCCGAAAATTTAATTACAAAAGATTATCAAAATTAATGGTTTAAAGTATAAAAAAATAGAAAATAAAGTACAATGAATAGTATTTGCCTTAGATTTGCCCTAGACTTAGCCCTCATGGGTGGAACCACAAATGGCAAGGCTGACACTATTCACGTGAATAGTGGCAGCCCTTACTTGCCCTTGCCCTAGACTTAGCCCTTACTTATGGGTGGAGATGCTCTTAATATATAACAAAATTCACCAAATCAAAGAATGTCAATTCTTGGTTATTTGTGCAATGATAGAAGAATATCAAAGAACATGATTCTTCCTTTACAAGATTTTAATGAAAATTGAAGTTTCAGAAGCAAGAAAAGGAAAAAAAAATAGACAGCTAGAAAAACTAAAATTCCAAAGAAACCACCACATCTCATACTACAACTCACAGATCTATGAATGTACGAGATATCATTTTTTCTTTTTAAAATTTTATAACTTTTTTCTTTTTAAAATTTTATAACTGTAAAGCAGAACTATTTGTTTGGCATATATGGGTTTAACGGTTTGGATCTAAGCTTGGTGGGCGGTCTATTCTGTTGTTTTTCTTGGTGATATTCTTTTTACTTTTCCAGACAAAATAATGAGTAATTAAGAAGAATATGATGTGGCAGATTAATTACATGACTTGTCATAAGTAATTAAAAAGGTAATAGAAGCTCCCCTCTGTATCTAATACTTATGCCTAAGTCGTAACAAAACGTGATTCGTGTATTGGCTGATCCCTTTAACAGCAAGTTTAATTTATTTGATGCGGTTTTAGTACTTGTTATTGTACTTTTGCTTTATTACTTTTTCCTTTTAAAATGTTATAAGTAAGGTATATATGTGATGTGATGCTAAAAGAAGAAAAAGAAAAAAAAGAAGCAAATATATAGACTGGGAGAGGGCAAGGGCGGCTATTATCAATTGAGTTGAGTGGAAATATTTGGAGATGGTTGAAATAGGAGTGGAACTTAGTCTCACGAGAGGGCAATATGAATGGGCCATGAACGGCCAGTGGGAAAGCCTAAAACGATTCTACAAGGATCATGTGTCTGAACTATTTTGGCCAATGACAACGAAGTACGACACTGTACTTCACGTGGCAGGCTTGGCTGGACGCAAAGACGTGCTTGATCTTTTGATTCCACTGCTAGAAGACAGGGATACGTTGATAATGGAGAACAACCGCGGTAACACCCCGCTTCATGAGGTAGCTGCGTCTGGAAATTTGGACGCAGCAAAGCTGTTTGTGGAAAGCAGGTATGCAATTCCGGCGTATGGGGAGATTAAGAACCACTTAGGAGAAACCCCACTCTACAGGGCTGCTTCTTTTGGTCACACAAACTTGGTTCAATATTTGGCAACCCAAGTGCGCGACGATACAGAGCAGCAGCACTTCCAAAGAGATGATCAAGTATCCATTCTTCATATCGCAGTACTTGGCCAACATTTTGGTCTCTCTTTCTCCCTATCTTTCTCTCCAAAACCAACTTGACTATATATATGCGGATGTACGGACGTTATTATCGTGCGGATGCCATGTATTTTATGCTGCCTCTCTTTGTTTTCCTCTCTGTTTATAATGACATCTGCATAATAATAACGTGCGGACATCTGGATGATAGAATAGCATTAGTCTAGCTATTATATTTGACTTTATTATATATCATGATTAACATGCATCCATGGTTTTCCTTCAATGCAAATTGCAATGCAGAGACTGCTCATTGGTTAGTACCCATATCTTGCGAATAGAAAGGAGAAGAATGGACTCACAAGTCTTCAATTGCTAGCGCAAATGCCATCTGCCTTCAAACCCAAATTTCACGAAAGCATATGGATTAAGCTGCACCGTCATATATGTACCATCTACTCTCTCTACTGCTTATACACTACTGGCACTGCTAAAATTAGATATAAACTCAATTAGCCTTTCTAATTATGATGATAATAATGCTGATTTTTGTGCTCCCTTATAATACATTCAGGCCTTCGTAATGATGATAACATTGATCGGGACCCAGCAAATCAAAACGATGACTTGGAGAGCGGATTTAATCATCCTTCCCAATCTACTTTTTCAAACAAGATTATGAGTAATTAATCTAACTTTCAAAGTGTGTGTTTGTTTATATATATAGTCCCCTTCTATTGAGGGACACATTTGATGGTCCTTTACGATTTTTTTTTTTTAACGATTCAAACCATCTATTTTTTATGTCTAAATTCATAGATTATCCTTGCAAAAAATTAGACAAATCGGAAACCGTTTCAACATCCAATTGTGTCCTACAAAATAAATGAACACGGTGCTTCAAGAAAGTACTAAAATTTCAATAACTCAATTGAGTGGTCAAATGATATCGGATTCAAGTGATTTTTTTTTTTTTGTATATATGATCTTTGAATGATTATCTAAAAAATAGACGGTTTGGATTAGTGAAATACAATGGGGAGTGGGCCCTATAAGGGTGTCCCTCAAATCAGCTTATTTGAGAGATACCTTAATAAAAGCTATATATATATATATAGAATGTCATCCTTGCATAAAATCTTAAAAACAACTTATTTGTTGTTCAAAAACATTATGTTTTCCATAATATAAAATGTTGGTAAGCCATTATTATTATAGTTAAGAAAACTTTTCGTGAAACCTGGTACCTAATTTATTTATAGATATGTATTCTAATATAGTAAATTATATATGATGATACACATACTCTAATATACCTACAAATATGTTAATAATTAAGTTAGTATATCAATATACCTACCAACGTATATATGTTTACAATTTAATTAATAATAACGTAAGTACTACAAATATATATATATATATTTATTACCATGCGGACTTCATGTATTTTCTACAATTCCTCCATACTTTCCTCCTTGTTTACAATGACATCCGCACGATAATAACATGCGGACATCCGCATAGAAGAATAACTATATATATAAATATATATAACTAAGAGTTATAGAATTAAAATAAAAAATAAAAAAACCAAACTAACACCCAGGTAAAAATAATTAGGCCTTACCCAAGCTTAAGAATGACAATAAAATTTTGTACAATTGCTTAATTAAGGTTCGTTTTCATTATTAATTCCTGTGGTTTCATTTCATTTATTTGTTAAATTTTATACACTTGATTTGTATTTCTTTTTTTGCTTTTCTTTCTTCTCTTCATATTATTTCAATATCTCTCTCATGAATAGGAATGATCAGAAGAATTACTATGGGCGAGGAAATGCAAAATCAAAAAGAACTATTGGAACTCACTGATTTTCTCGTCAAAACGGACAATTCTTGGGCGGAAATTGATCCAAACGAAGTAGTCAATACATTTTCTCTGGTGTCAAAACTAAATATTCCACAGAAAGAAGAAGATGCTGATGATAATAATTGTGATTGTGGGGACGGAAGAGAAACCGAATCTACTTATGAGTATATTCCATTGTTTATAGCAACTAGAACTGGAATATCACAAATTGTGGAAAAGATTTTGAAGTGTCATCCTCAAGCAGTTGAGGCGCACGATATCAAGCATCAACAAAACATTTTGCACATGGCCATTAAGTATCGTCGGTTGGCCATCTTTAAGATTGTAAAGAAGAACAAATTCATAACCTCAAGGCTGGCTGACTTGATTGATAGCGATTGGAACACCATATTGCACCACGCTGCAGATATGAGCTATTTCACAGATACGAACTATTACTCTGTGGACGCTAAAGGTACATATGGTCCTGCATTTCAGTTGCAAGAAGAATTGCAATGGATGGCGGTGAGTGATATATATAAGCCTTAACCCTAATTTTAATGACCCTATATTTAAGTCAATTGAAGTTCATCTACTAGGACATGCATGCATGCATTAAAAATACAGATTTTAAATGGTGATTCCCTTATCTTGATGAAAAAGAGCATTGATTTGTAGACCAGTGGTTTCAAGTGTTCAAACCCCACGACATCATAGTGTGTGTGTGTGTGAAAACCTCTCTTCCCTTCCTACACTTTAGTGACTAATTATTTTGATTTTTTTCTTCAAAGGTATGAAGTATTTTTTTGACAAGGGAAACATCTTCTAACATTAATTGCCAAGAGAAATATCACTGTACTGGCTGAGAGCTACTTATATTAAGTATGAAACTAGTTATAGTAGTCCGAAATGGTAACAATGTTTTTTCCATTTGTGGGCAGCGTGTGCAAAAGATAATCCCACTTAATTACACCATGCACCGCAACAAGAAGGGTATGACAGCGGATGAGCTCTTTTCTAAGCAGCATGCAGAGCTTCTTCAGTCAGCAAAAGTATGGATGAAAGAAACTGCTCAGTCAGGCTCGGTCGTGGCTGCTTTGGTGGCCACCGTGGCCTATGCAGCTGAGTACACGGTTCCCGGGGGTACTAATCAGAACGGGCTTCCTAATCTCCAGCACTCTCCTTTCTTCAAAGCATTGGCCATTTCGAACACTGTCTCGCTTATCTTGTCATTGACTTCTTTGGGCACGTTTCTCAATATCATGAGGTCTCCATTTGAGTAAAAAAACTTTCACCACTCTCTTCCCTTCAAGCTGAATTTAGGGTTCCTCCTTCTCTTCTGCTCGCTGCTAGTGTCCATGCTCTCCTTCGCTGCTACTATTGTGCTCTTGATTCATCATCAAAAGATATGGTCAATTTCCCTCATTTACGTTGTTGTTGCCGTTCTTCCTTTCTCTGCGTTTGGGCTCAACCATAATCGTTTTTATCAAGTATTTTTCAAAGGTTTGAAATATATTAAAAAGAAACTTACGGTGTTGACCAAAAATAACTCTTAAATGATTTGCCCTCTGTAAGAGGACGTACGTTAGAATAAGAATGGAGCTGTAGCTCTCAGTTAGAAGGTTCCCTGTTCTTCCTCCTTTGTCGGTGTTTTTCCCCTTCCTTTTATGTATTTTCCAGAAGAAGTTAACATCCTTGAAATAAAAGTGTGTATGCTAAACATTGTGTTTGTGTCATGCTTTTATTTATAATTTCTCAAGTCGTACCAAAACGTCATTCATGCATGATCCTTATAATTATTAACAAGTTCAATTTATACTTGATGCTTCCTTTAAACTTGTTATTCTACTTTCGCTTTATTACTTTTTCTTTTTAAAATTTTATAATTGTGGGCTGGTATACGTTTACTTTGCTACTAATTGATTAAGCAAGGTATGTGATGCTAAAGAAAAAAAAGAAAGAACAAAAAAAGGAAGGTGATATTGGGATTGATATCAAATATTGCTCACTACGTATAGAATATGTTTACTTATCAGTAATGAGAATGGGGAGAAAGAGAATTATTTCGATTCTTTGTTTCCTTTGCGTTTACTTACTCACCAAGGAATAAAAAGTAAGTGGACTCCACCTCAAAATTGGTAATTATTCCCATCCAATCAATTACTCCCCTTATTGATCTAATTCTTGGTTTTGGTGGGAATGATTACTGACTTCCCCGATTCCTTACTTCTCCCATTCTAAGTAAGTAAACATGCCAATAATGGGAGACTGCGTAAGAAAGAATAATATAGCTAGAGAAAGATGGAGGATGAGGTTGGAAGAAAAGGAAAGGTACTCAGTCTAGGGGAAAAGCCATAGACCACGACTGGAAACACCTAAAACAGTTCTACAACAATGATGCGATGGAAGTAATTGGCGGGATCCTTTTGAGAGGATTTTGTGGGTCCATAATCATCAATCCATCCCTTGCTTTGGATTAGATTTTGAATATTATATAATATATTCACATTTCAATCCAAATTGTATCCAACTAACAAGACCTTATATATATTTCCCTTCTATTAAGGGATCTCGTAAATAATTTTATTTGAGGGACACTCTTACGAATTTTTTTTCCAATAATTCAAACCATCTATTTTTTAAGTATACATTCATAGATCATTCTTGCAAAAAATTAGACAAATTAAAAAAACGTTTTGACATCCAATTGTATCCTACAAAATCAATGAACACGGTGCTTCAAGAAAGTACTAAAATTTCAATAACACAATCGAGTGGTCAAATGATATCGGATTCAAGTGAGTTTTTGTAGAGATGATCTTTGAATGAATATCTAAAACATAGAAAGTTTGGATTAGTGAAATACAATGCAAATTGGGCCCTACAAACAGGGACGGACTCAGGATTTTAAAATGGGTTGGGCTAAATTTACCTTGCATATAAACCTATTAAGTCCATCTCTAATGCTAGATAACTCAAACCCAAATTTTCCTATCTAAAATAGAACTATTCATGTATATCTCGTACTCAACTTTATTAATTGTTTAAAATTGATTTAACTCTAAAATAATTTTATGTTTAATTTTTTCTTAATTTAATTTTAGTTTATATCATCGTAATTTATTTTCTTGATCATTTAACTTTAAAAAAATTCAAATTTGGGAAACAAAATTTTGATTCACAAATGGTATAAGGAGATAAAAGATAACATTTATTATCTCTAAAAAAAAAATATTTAACATTTATTACTTTTTGTTGTTGTTGGAGCTGATATATTACTTGTTTCTTTGTCTCAAAATTCTTTTTGTTGTTATTGTTACAATATTGAAGCTGCGCAAGGGGTTGTGGTTTTAATTTAAACAAAAATTTGATGGGTAAATGTGGTTTTTAATTAAAGTTTTTTAAGGTTAATTGTTTCTCTATTCTCAAAACAAAAAAATTCATTGTTTCACCAAGTTAACGCAGCTAGGGGGTCCATTTATATTGATTGGAACTTGGGGTAGGTGTGCTAGGTTTGTTATTTTATACTATATGAAAAAAAGAACCGCCTGGGCTATAGCCCATGTTAACCAAAGGGATGGTCCGTCCCTGCCTACAAAGGTGTCCATCAAATAAGCTAATTTGAGGAAGCTCTAAATAGTGTATTATCATTTTAAGGGTTTAATAAACCGTATATTTGGTCTAATACAATATTTGATTGGTCATTTGTCAGCGTTCGTATTCGTACTTAATAAGTGTTCATACCATAGAAGAATCGTAGCTTCTGAAGAAGCTTAGGATATTGTATTGTGTAAATGTACTCATTAACATTCTCAATGCTCTCAGAATGTCTTTCCAATATGACGACAAAGTTGGAGCATTCCATTTAAAACCAATTTACAATGAGTGTGAGGCGTATAACATTTTATTGTGTAAGGCAAGATCTATTCAACAATAATTAGTTGATGGCAGCAACTTCATGCCACATACGAGGAAACTGTATTGGTAGGTAGCAGGAGGAAAAGCCACTTGAAGTTGAGGTTTTATTTGTTTTGGAGTTCTGGGTTTTTTACCTCTTAACTAGTCATTGGGTGACATTCTTTACATTCCCTTAAATCTAGCATTACCTATACCTTAGGAATTCAAGTGTCCACAATCCAAATTCAAGTATGATGATATTAATGCAATTATACCTTAGGAATCCTTCGACAGGGCTTGGTAGATTTGGCCTTATGAAGAGGGGGTGAAAGCTATCTTGTTGAAACTCACAATTAAAATTCTCCATCTCATATTTAATATGTTGAGTTGTTGATTATTGTTGTAATCTTGTTTTCAAGTGCTTGGTTTATGTCCCATATGATAAATTACCTACGTGCAAAAAATTTGTATTACGAAATTGTTTTGATTTTTCTGTATTCGTCTATCCATATAAAGGTAGAAAGGTGAAACATTCAAAATCCCAAAAATTCACTATCTTAATAAAAGATATTAAAAGAGAAGATATTCTATTAAACAACATGTTTTGCAGTTGCAGGCACCTCAAAACTGTTTTGTATTTTAGATGTAGTTTTTTCAAATAACATATATGTGATTTATCAGTATGGTACTTGAATTATTGTGCATAGTAAACTGGACAAAAAATTATAAATAAAAGGGGACTCGGCTTGTGCCTTAGTTCATTTCATTAATAAGGTAAATTCAACTTAGTCCTTCTTGAAAGAATTATTAAAAAATAAAAATAAAACCCTTTTTAATTCCACCAAATTTTTTTCCAAAATTCATATTCAATAATCAATACCAATACAATACAACCCCTTATACTCCATATTAGTTTATAGGATTTGCATGCAGACAGGAAAACGTACTTATTACTACAATGGAAAATTCGAATTTCATTGATGTTGGTAGCTTGTCATTCTCATATAGTTTTATTGCGTATCCTCTTTTTCTTTCTGCAGATACCTTGTCCGTCGTGATATGCCCATTAGAGAATTTGTTAATTTTATTCGGTTTAATATCAAGCTCAGCAGAAAAAAGCCTATAGTTGTCTGTTTCAAGAACACTAAACCTCCCACTGGTGAGTTGCAGCTCGTTTTAGTTTAAGGCATAATAATACCTTTTTCCCAAATTTGTGGTGGTATAATTCATCGATCCAATGTTACAGGTGCCTTGATGTCTGCAATCGATGAGGAAAATAAGGATGAAGATACAGTGGAAAAGGAATACAGGGTGACATACAAATATGAGTCTTTCATGAATCATGCCTATGTATTACTAGCTCGGGTTGGTAGGTGTGGTAGGGGACCTAATTGCTGAATTGAAACTTTTATGCATGCATGGTTTCAACTACACACATTTATCAAAGTTACACGAAAAGACTTTGTACTTTAAATTGTGTCATACCCGTTGAATTTCATACAGAAGCAGAAATCCTTTGATGCTGGGTATGCTATTATGTGTGATTTTGGTAGTAAGAACTTTAAGATTTACTTTTCTGTAAACAAAGAACAATTATGATTCGCTTTATGAATAGTAATAACTATAAAATTCACGGAAAAAAAAAAGTCTAAAGTTTCATGAGACTCGATATGGAAGGCGAGTATGTATAACCCTAAACCCTTTTAAAATCCATATTAAATACACCCAAAATTTTGAAATTTTTGCGCTAAACGAGTATCTTTGCCGAGGTCAGGCATTTTATTTCGCTTCCACTTAATATTGCTTGTGTTAGTAATAAAAGAAAAATAAAAAACCAAGAGAGGAAAAAAAAAAAGGAACAGTTGTGTGAATTGGATGCGTAAAGAGTTGGTTGGAACATGCTGACCAAAACAGAGATACAAATTGAGAAGATTTAAATGCATGTAATATAGACCTATTCTTGGTAACAAAATTTCGTATGCAGTTTTGATGTTTCCTGGTTTGAAAATTGGCAGAGAACAGTCGCAGCATGTGTTTCACCTTGGATGAATGCTCATACAAGAACACATATCCTCAGGGTATGTATTTCCTTCTTCTTTTTTGTCGGAGTTTTTCCATCTTTTGTAGGGATCAATTATATAATCTGTATAGATCTGTAACGATTAGCTTAAATTTCATAGATGCAGTGTTGTGATTTATTTTGGAAATTGGTGATTTGGTTTTGTCTAAGTTATCTGTCTCATCTCTTTTCTACTGATGTTTTTGGAGTAAGGAATGACGCAAGCAGGAACAAATCCAACACCAGTAGGAACTTCACAGAATCAGATATGTTTAGTTCCTAGTCGTTCACAGGCCATAATGTTTGGCAGTCCTGACATTGAAGAAAATCTGTTAGTTTCCAATTTCCTTGTGCTTTAAAATGTTGATTGGTATTGCAACAATGGAACGTGATTGTTTCCTTTTCATTTGTGCTTTTGATGTATGGTCAGAAATTGGTCAAGGCCCATTTGTTGTTTAGACAATTGGAGGAGTGTCGCCGAGAAGGTAAGAAATTCACTGAATCAAATATGCTTATGTCCTATGTATTCAATTGATGCTCTGTGTGCTAATTTGAGTCTCCATGCATGTGATTGTGGAGAAGGCTTTGAGGAACCCTGGAAAGAAGAGGTTGGTTGCCGATTCACTCTTGTGCTTTACTTATCTTGATTTTAATGTAATAGGATTGTTATTTTTGTCATTTATGCTTTTAATATGGGTTGAGGGATTCTATGAATAGGTACAAAGGCCTCCTTACTTCTTTAGATGGTGATTATTTGAGGGAGACGCGTCCAAATTATATACCAGTAAGAATTTCACTGCATCAAATACGTTGACTTCCTATGCAGTATGTTCTAATTTGACCTTTCATGCAGGTGATTTTGGAGAAAGATGCAAGGAGTGACATTCCTGACATGGTCCGGAAGAAGTGAGTTTCGAATTCCCTTTTGCTTTAGTTATGTTGATTTGTATATCTACAATAGAATAGGATTGTTCCCTTTTCATTTATACTTTTGATATATGTTCCGAAATTGGGCCAAAAAGAAAAGGGAGGAGGAGAGAATAAGAAAGAAGATTGCGGAAAGCATTGCCCAATACTTGATATGTTTTCATTGTTAGCTGTGCGTTTTAGTTTGTACATGAAATCTCCTACCAAGTAATTTCCTATTCCATGCCACTATATTAGATTTACATACAGAAAGGAAAACCTACACCAAATTCATTTGTATTCATAACGTGTCTTAAATGAAGGGGGTTCTCACTCATACAGTTGTATTGCCTATCCTGTTTTTTCTGATTGCAGATTCCTTGTCCCTGATGAGATGCCTCTTGGAGATTTTTTTAATCATATTCGGTTTCAAGTCAAGTGCAGCAGACAGTTCGTCGTCGGCGCAATAAACCCTATATTTATGTTTTTCAAGAACACTAAATCTCCCATTGGTGAGTTGCAACTCGATCATCTTTGTTTTACTCATTTTAGTTTTGGTTGTAATAGTTCATTGATCCAATGGGTACAGACACCTTGATGTCCGCAATCTATGAGGAAAACAAGGATGAAGATGGATATGTTCACATTACGTACAGTGGAGAGGAGAGTGTATGTGGATCCAATGAAGCGCAAGAATGCATGCTATGTGGTAGATCTTGAGGGAAAGTGTAAAATCTCGGAGCTCCGAGTGAATGATCTGACTTGCTTAAATCCTCATCTTGTGGCCTTATTATGGTGCTGGAAGTATGTAGTTTTATGACATCGAAAGAAATGGACTTGGCAGCCGCATCCATGGAGTTGAAATAATTTTAATGATTTCCCAGTTCAGTTAGATGTGAGTTTTGTCATTGTTATTCCTTCCCAGCTTTTGGGGGCTTTAATGAAGCATCTCTTTGACCCGAAAAAAATTGTTTATGTTCCCCATCTTCATGATCCATTCCTTCTATTGAAGGACCCACCATCCTCGCATGATCACAACATGAGTTAGGAAGGGATGAAGCAACCAACTGCTGCAACTTGAGCCTCGTCTAATTAATATACCACAATTAGCAACCCCTCACATCTAAACCCAGCAATAAAAAATCACCCTCTCTTTAAAACCACAATACGAAATCAAATCCTTCAATCCCTTTGGAAGCCAAGAATTCATCGCTTCACCAAGAATTCATCATTTTTAGAAATATGAGGAATCCCAGTAGCTTCCTTGAATTCCCTTTCAAATCACACATTGGGTTTTCTGATTCAACTAAATAAATTCATTTTGGAATAATAGAAATTGTAAATTATTGTAACGAGATGGAAAAAAAGATGCAGCAATTGGCAATAAATTCTATACTTTAGAGCACCTCCACCCCAAAAGGCAAGGGCAAGGCAAAGGCAAGGCAAGGGCTAACACTATTCATGTGAATAGTGACAGCCTTGCCTTTTTTGGTTCCACCCCAAAGGGCAAGGGCAAGCGCAAACACTATTCACCTTACCTTATTTTCTATTTTTTTTATACTTAAACCATTAATTTTAATAAGCTTTTCATATAATATTTTTGGTTTCCACGTGTCACTATTTATTATAAAATTCTCACCTAAAAATTCAGATAACATTTTTAGTTGCCACGTGTCCATCAAATTTCATATAAGATTTTCGGATGAGATTCTCGGTTGCCACGTGTCTTATTTCAGATAAGATTTTTGGATATTTATTAAAAAAAATTATAATTTCAGATAAGATTTTCACCCTCTAAAATTGTGTCACGTGTCCCATGTCAGATAAGATTTTAATTATGGTTTATTTTGTGTGTTGTTTGCAATAAATGAAGGTTTTTTTTAAATTAATCTTTGTTGTGATATGCTTTTTTTAATAAATAGTCATATTATTTAATGCTTTCTTTATTGGAAAGTAGTAGAAAAATGTGAGTAGAAAGTAAAAAATATTGGAAGAAGAAGAGTTTGTATGAAGATTTGGTGTGGAAAGTGAATAAAATTGTTATGTATTTATAGGGAAAACATCCATAATTTTTTGGTATTTTTTTTAAAAAAATTTGAATTTCTTTCGATTTTTTTCGGATTTTTTTTTGGCTCGTTGACGTCAGCGCCTTCCGGCTGAAGCCCAGACAGAAATTGCCCGTGGGCTTGCCCGGGCTGCATGTCGTGCGCTGGAGGGGCTTTTGGTCTGGCAGGGGGCCTTTTACCCAGGGCACAGCCTTGCGCTGCACTTGCTCTTATAGATTCAAACTTGGGTATAGTGACAAAGTGGTAGAGAAAGGCAAGATGGGGAGAAAAAAAAAACCGGCTATACTATTTGACGTATTTTTTAAACAAATATTAGAAAAATAGAGTATCGCAACCCGGCTATACTATTTCTTTTATAATTAAAAAAAGGGAAAAAACCCCTTTAGGAAGTGCGGCTATACTGCTACGATCTAAATACTTCGAGGGGCAATTTTGCACAGCCCTCGGAGCCGATGAATCCCGCCAGAAAACGCAGAAAAACGGCCGGAAATTTCAGAAACTTTGGGTCGCTCGTTCTCCCTCAATTCTCCACCAAATTGGACGAGTGAGGTATGGTTTTTGGACTAATTTTCGTGCTCTAGCTGCCTATGGGATAGGATTCCAGAAATTTTGAGAGTTTGTAGTCCGTTTTGTGAATTTAAATTCTGCCGGTTTTCAGTTAGAATTTCCGGCCACTTCCGGCCACTTTTTGGCCATAGCTCAAGAACAAAAGTGACTCCAAATCATGTGTATTAGCTAAGGTAGGAGTTTGGAGTCAAGATGTTAAGTTTTTCCGGCGAGTGGTTATCGCTTTGGACACCCACGTGCTGTCGGCGCGTGTGGCGTGGCACTGTAGCAGAGACATTTTTTATCCTAAAATGATCTCCTGATTGATAGGATTCCAGAAATTTTGAGAGTTTGTAGCCCGTTTCGTGAATTTAAATTCTGCCGGTTTTAAGTTAGAATTTCCGGCCACTTTTTCCGGGTTCGATATGTTAGAACCGTTGGATCGCTTCCAATTTAATATATGTTAATCTAGGCGTTCCTAGTATTGTGTAGGATTTCACGGATCGTGAATCGGAGCCCCGGATGTTCCGATTCAATAAGTTAAAGTTTGTATTTTTACGATAATCGTCCGATCGTGCGATCGTGAGTGATCCGACCGTCCGATTCGGACCAAACTTGAAGGATAGGTTTATTAAACCTTGTGGAACCCTTAGGGATGTTTGGATCGAAAAATGGAGGTCGTGGGGCCCGCGGGCCCGGTTGACCAAATTTAGAAAGTTTGACTCTCGGTTGACCGTGAGTCTTCCGAGGTAGTTTCACACTTCGAAAAGTATTAGGATGACCATGTAAACGAGTGTTAATTGTTATTTGAGTTATTTGGATTATATTGGGAGTATGAGCTTGTTTATAATATCCTATGGGATTCTTGGATAATATTTGATAATTGAAA